CTTACAGGGTGTAAAGCATTTTACGTAATTCTACACCACACCTCTCCTGCTCTCTTGTAAACACCGGTGCCTTCACACCTTCCTGGGGGTCCTTTCCACTTTCACCGCTCCAAACCAACGAACCCTTCGTTCTTGGCGCCCAAACCGGCCGCGACTCCGACCCCCAACACCCGGCCGCTGCCTCTTGCGGGGCCCCGGCGGCCCATCGCCGCACGGCCCGGTCGCCACGCGCGGCTCACGCGCGCGGTTGCCCGGAGGCGGTCGGTCGGCCTGTCGGGGCGTCGGGGGAGGCGGTCTTCCGGAAATCCATCTCTCGGTGCCTCGACCGCGCCGAGCCGCTGTGCCTCTGCGGCGGCGAGGGCTCGGAGGCCGCGGAGGCGCGGGCGCGCTACGAGCGGCTGCGGAGGCAGCAGTGGGTTCGAGCAGCTTGGCGGGGAGTGGGAGGAGTGACCGGAGTGGTGGGGAGGATTTGGAGGGTGACTTTGGGTGTTTAGAGGTGAGGTGAGTGTGAGGAGGTGCTGGGATGGGGCATGCTCAAAACTCAAACCATGGCCATTGCAGGCCAACAAAATCCAAGAAACAAGTAACTACAAACGAAGGCTTAGTTCACATTATTGCGCTGGTCACCAGGTCAAGACAGAAACATCCTGAAACATTCCCTTGCACTAACTCTAGACTTTTGAGCCATTTTTGTATAACATTTCTTAATATTTCTTATAACTTTTGTATTCATCCTATTTTTTTCAGATTGCTATCTATAAGAGAACCCACCTTAATCTTATTATATCCGTTCACTCTTACTATCTAGCTATAAATATTTTTAGTTGCACTCTGGCGATGGCAGGCGGAAGCCCCGCACCGAGACCGCACCGAGGTTTGGGGCCGCACGAGCCTGGGCACCTTCCGAGAATGCTTCAGCTGGGCGGCCTATCTGCTGCCGGTGGCCATCGTGGCACCGCTCTGGTTGAAGGGTCAGGTACAGTTCGGCACCGTGGCCCAGGCGAGGGTAGCAGCAGCGCAGGGAGGAGGAACTGAGAAACCCATGTATGAATCCCATGATGAATCCTACAGATACAGATACGAAGAAAACTACAGTACCACTACCACTGCCACTACCACTACGACTACCACCACCACCACCACCACCACCACCACCACTACTACTACTACCACTACTACCACTACTACCACCACTACCACGACCACTACCACTACCACTACCACTACCACTACAGTACCACTACACTACCACCACCACTACCACTACCACTACCACCACCACCACCACTACCACCACCACTACGACGACGACGACGACGACGGCGACGACGACGACGACGACGACGACTACTACTACTACTACTCCTCGACCAGCACCAGCACCAGCACCAGCACCAGCACCAGCACCAGCACCAGCACCGCCACCACCACTACTACCACTACGACTACCACTACCACTACCACTACCAGGGGGTCCTTGACCGTGTCTTATCCTGCCGCCACCCTCAAGAGTCTTCTACACCATCAACATGAATCAACTACTTCATATCTTATGGCAATATCTTGCCATTAGATTACTATTATTGTCCACTGCTATTCTCTACTGCTGTTGTGAGCAGCAGCAGCAGTAGTAGCAGGAGGAGGAGGAGTAGCAGCAGCAGGAGCAGGAGCAGCAGCAGCTATAGCAGGAGAAACAGTAGCAGTAGCAGTGGTCGTCGTCGTTGTAGTGGTAGTGGTAGTGGTACAGTGGTAGTGTGGTGCCTCATAAAGGCCTCAAGGTTGTGCCTTGTACCTTGGGAGCGGAGCCTGTGACTTCTTTGGCTATGTGAGTGAGTTTCTGTGGTATGATCGTCCCTGGCGAACTTGGAGTCCAGCACGCAGCTCTTCAGCACCCCAGCCCCCCTCCGCCCCAAAGAAACACATGGTCAGTTTTTTTGGATTCATTTCTTCCAGTTCCCACAGCGAGCTTCCGGTTTACAGGTGAGCTCAGACACTTCCATCCCGGCTCCAGGCGGTGATGGCCTTCCACATCTCCCTCGACGCGCTCACGGTGGTGGTGCGGAAGTTCCGCTCGGTCTCGTCACTCATGGCCGAGGCCGACTGGGGCGACATGGGTGGCTTCTTGGCGTGGCCAAGCCGCGCGTTGGTGCTGTGATCACATGCGTTCATTGTAGAGCCCCCATTCGAAGCAGATGAAACAAACAGTTTGAAGCAGATGAAACAAACAGGTTGCATTAGCTGAATTAAGCAAAGGACCTTTGAAACGATTGGTGCCCTCGACCCAGGGCAGCCGACTGGAGGGCCTGGTGTTGGCGCTCTCCTCTGCCTTGAGCTGCGCACAGCGCTTTGGCTGCAAAGAAGGTTTGTGTGCCTGCCCTAGAAGTCCGAAGACATCCGAAGACCATTTTTGGCACCACCCAAGTAAAGGAAGTTCCTTGTCAGGTCATCCACAGACCAATTTAAACATAGTCCTTGAATTCCAGGGCGCCGAATTTGTCAGTCTTTCGGCTGGACTTTCGGGCTACATTCTGAAGCTGCTGCGCGGATAGCCGTGCCTCAATGATCATCAATGATCCAATCCCTTTGGCACCAAGAGCAGTACAGTCTGCCAAAACTCATCGAGTGCATCTCGCAGCAGATCTTGAGATAGAGTGCAAACATATGCAAACATCTTCGGATCTACAATCTGATATATATATATATATATGTATATACACATACACATTATGTATAACATGACGTCAAATAAAAGTACAATGCAATCCAATATATAACTTAATGTAGCCTAATACAATACAATGTGTACTATACTAGATCATGTGATAGAACATTATAGAATACTGTACAGGTATAGGCCGTTCGTTTCGGGATGCACATTGAACATAAATCTCAAAGTTCACATGTCCGGACCACCGACCTGCCTACGTCCTCCTCGTCCGCATCACACAACGACGTGGTGGCGCAGTCGTTCAGGTCTCCCAGTCCCCGACCGGAGAAGAGCGCCGACGGGGAGGTGGAGGCCTTGCATTTGGCCTTGCACCTGCCGAACGGCGCGCAACTCTACGAGGCCCGTGCGGTTTTGAGGAGTGGGGAGCGTTTTAAGGGTTGGAGGGCGAAGGCTCGAAGAGGCTTGGGTGGTTGGAGTGGGGACTTTCGGATTTATTGGACAGAATCAGACCAAGCACACCCCTTTCTTGCCTCATAGATTGAGGCTTGAGGCGGGTTGGACTCGACGAAGTTCAGATCTCATACCTTTGAAGGTAGGGCCTCCAGAAAGTTCAACTTCCTAGATGCGAATTGACAGCCAGGGTGGGACAGATGTGTTCCCCCATGAGTGGCAAATCCTGGGGAATCCAAACCTGAAGTTTGTTTCGGCACCTTTTGATGGGTTGCCCATCACCCGACCCTTCCGACTTCCCTCTTTTAGAGCCCCATCAAACAATGAATAAGCCAATAGACTATCACCCTAGCTAAATGGATCCAAATGGCAAAACTCCTGGAGAGGGTGATGGCGCAAGAGAGAGAGAGAGAGAGAGAACAGACCAACAGAGGTTTTCAGGACCCGAACGTTCGCATCTCCCAGTTCGGTACCCCAGGTTACGGTTCTAGTTTGATCGTCCCTGGCTACCTCTCTGATTTGGGACTCGACACCCTCCGCATCATCCGAGGCTCGGTCCGACCCTTCGCGACGGATCGGTCGCGGAGATCCGGACCATCCTGTTGGGGTGCCCTCGAATAGGAAGCCTAGGCCGGTAGTGTGGGGTAGTCCAGCCAGGACACCCATCGGATGGTCCCGGTATACATATATACATATGTCGAAACACCGGTAGCCGACCGACTCCAGTCGATCGAAAACCCATCGGGCGATCCTTTTCAGCTCCAGCCGATGAATGTCCCTGCGGATACGACGATCGATATGCTTGCACCTGGAAGGAAGACATGGTTGCGGCACTCATGGAAGTCAACACGGCTTTTAAACTATAAAGAGTTCGAACCAAGGCTTCTCTTGACAAGGCTTCAACTCTTACGAATTGAATCTCTACTTATAGGTGCGAGGCACATCGGTGCCGGGGATCTTTGGTCCCTCCCAAGCGGCATCTTCTGCTGCATCACGTTCGGCGATGAAGCGGCTCAAATATTTTGAAAGATCAAGCAACAGGCCTGACGCTGATCGCTGACGTACCGTTACCCACTTTACATATGACTTGGCTCGGTCTTCGGGTGAGCATGCCAAATCATGGTAAGTCATGTTCAAACCTTTGTACTGTCCGAACTGGATGACAGTGCGACCCCATTGGTGCATGTCCATCACATCCGGAGGCAACGTTGGCAGCATACTTGAGCTCAAATCTGAACCTGGCATCGGAGGTGGAATTCCTTCGGTGGCAGCATAGGATCCTTCCATGGAACCTGAGGCCTTGAACTTGGGATGTGCTGATGGACCATATCCACGTTCCTTCTTCGGTTGCGGCGAGGCTGCTGACAACTCCTCTCGACGTTTGGAGGCGTCAGTCATCGATCCAGAGAAGGGAATCAAGCTGAAACCTGAGTCTGGGTCAGCAGCTCCGGAAGCAATACCTGGTGCATCGACTGGCAGGGATGGCATCACCTGGCCTGACGACGCCTTGGCCATCAGATAGCGAAGCTGTGCTGCTTCATCGGGAGTGAGCGGCATTTCGGTATGCCTTTCAAGAAACAAATGCGGCGCGTGCTCTTGATCACAAAAGGCTAAAATAGAAAACGGCTAGTGAGCAGGACAACAGCTAAGGCTGTCACCCTGTCCCTGGTCTGAATGAGGAACTTCTTTCAAGACCGATCACAGCAAAACAATTTGACAACACACTCGAAACATTGTGACACGGCTGCATGCTATGACAAAACTGCTCAGCTATTTACTGATGCAAGAAAACGTATAACACAAGAGCTTCAAGACACAGTATTCCCTGTAGTCTACCGATGACTACCTTTCTTACTGCAAACTCTATGCTCTTAAACAACAACTATAGTTGCACTGAATTATCCATGACGTCGGCTTTCAAGCTTTTCCTTCGTTCGCGTTCTTCAGCTTGTTGTCTGAGAACCGTGTCCTCTGGAGAAATCTGATATGTCCCTTGACGGACACAGGATCGAAGCAAGTCAATTGGCTCTTGGCTGTCTTTGGTCAAGCCATCTGCCAACATCCACTTCGTGGGAAGCCATCGAATGCCACCTCCTGTCAACTGAAGAGATTCCCGAAGTATCACTATATCAATACATGTTCTTCGATCTTCTATTGACGTTGGTGATGAGGGGGAAATCAGGTGGTCATACAATGACTTACAATCTGTGGCCAGGATGGGTGATCGTTTCAATACAAGGACTGGTGGTCTCTTCTGCAACAGGTCTCATGCGTCTCTTGCCTTGAAAGGGCCATCCAAGGTCTTTGAAAGGAGGAGTGACAGCCATTCTGCCGTTCCACTGGCAGTTGACATGGCTTGGCTTTCACCTCCTAAGGTGGAACTCACGGCCCTTGGCAACTTATAGCTTTTCCAAGCCACTGGCGTCCATGGAGACACCTTGCCGTCATGCAACTTCTTATGAACAAAAGCCAAAACATAACCAGCTTGTGTGTGGCTACCTACGTTGGCGAACGCTGCATCGCTATGACAGCATATTGTCAGGGACTCAGGTTCAATGGATCTAAAACGAATTTTGAGGTCCTTGAATTGTTTGGCCCTCCGAATAGTGTTGTTCGCACTTCTGAGATGTTGGATGGTCGGTTTAGGTAGGCCCTGTTGACACATGCTTGTTTGGCATGACAAGTCGGGACGGCTTTGCGATGACAACCAGTTAAGGCTACCGTTGATTGCTCGGAGGACCCTAATTTGTTGTTCATTGAGCAACTGATTGGAGGAAACACCTTTGGGGATGTGAGCTGGTCTCAAACCCTCTGCAAAACTTGCCTGTGACATCTCAATGTCAAACGTCTTTGGGCATTGATCATACATGGCACCACAAAATTCACCATTGGATATCCTCCACTTCCGGTATGGGAACCTGGCTTTCAGTTTCTCTAAGGACTTTTCAAACAGGGGTCCCTCACCTCCTACTGCGGTGTCGTCGACATGAACGCCGAGCACTCCCAGCAAGCTATTGCTGTTGGGACAACGCAGTGTGTACAGGCATGGATCGAGGATCGATCGGGTCCAACCTGCCTGAGTTGCTTCACGATCGAAGGTGTTATGCCAAGCTCTTGGAGCATCGTTCTGTCCGTGTAGGTTTCCGACTACTTCGATGACACAATCTTCTGGAACTCCAGGGATGCCTCCTGGTGGCATTTTTGCGTAAAGAGGTCTGAACTTGTCTGGGAGTTCGCCTGCTTCCAAGAATGCGCCCTTAATATCGCCTAGCTGTAGGACCCACTTATGAGAGGCAATGATCTGCATCAGAACCATCCTACCTAGCTGACTGAGGGTTGGTGATTGAAGCAACCCAGATGCAGCCTTTTCTTCCAAGTCAGGATCTAAATGTCCCTGAAGGACCCATCGACTCTTGATTTTGAAAGTGGATGGATCACTTGGATCAACGCTGACTCCGTCTTGTGTTGCTTTTCTGATGATCACGAACCTCGATCCGATGAAACGGTCTGCGTGCTCGGCCCGGATGAGTCTAGCCTTTTTACCAAAGTGCAAACGGATTGCTCCCTTGTCGGAAATCGTGTTCCATTCTTCTCCCTTAGACAAGTTAACTAGTTTCTGCAACTCTGGGGGGTTGTTTGAAGGGGACAACTCTTTACTCAGTTTCTTCTGGATGTGTGCGGCAATGAGTGTCTCGATGCTTTCTTCGAGATGCATGTCCACTTCCTGTACAGACAAGACTTCATCGTACGCTTCGGTGCGTGGTCGAGCAGCGGACGACTCGGCCGTCGTGTTCGGGTCTGGAGACAGGGCTCTTTTCTGTCCATGTACCATGTTCTGATCTTGTTTGGTTTCTGTGGCGTCCTGAAGCAGTTGAGGGAGCACTTCTCTCATGACTTCTACGAAATCGTCCTGTCTCATTGCAGGCGGTCTGTAGAGAGCAGGAGCACCGGACTTCTGATCTACCCTCCGTCGTATTGGACCATATGAGCTTGGTGCACTAGTCAACCCTTCAGGTGACGGTGTTTCAGCAGAGACTGAGGCATGTGTCTCTTGAGTTCGTGCTGGCTCACATGTCATGGGACCTGGTACAGCAGAGGCATCGGAAGTCTGTGCTTCGGACTGCTCGTGATCAGGCGACATGTTTGGCTGCTGTGCTGATGGGGGTGTGTCTCCTTTATCCGAGTCGATTTCACTGATTGATCTTCGGAGGGATAGTGTCCTGGAACCAAGTCAATGAACTGATGGCTTTTAAAGGTACCTCCTTCCACAAGATCTCGAATACCTAACAGCTCTGCTTGAGGGGTTGAAATCAGGACTCGTTCTTCGGTGGTCGCTGGCCTCATTTGTTCAGGCGCACACCGGAAGATGTGACGACGATGAGCTACCACATAATTCTTCCCGACCTGACCTATCACAATTGCAGTACCATACCAACGTCCACCTTGTTGAACCACACCTTGACCCATCACTTTCTGTTGTCGCCAATAGCACACGAGATCGCCTGGTTGATACGACAGCATGGCACGAGGTCGAGCAGCCAAGGCCTGTCTCAAGGCTTTGTCATCTTGCATGGCAACAACAGCCTGTCTGGCGCTTGTACGAATGGCTTGAGACTTGGCGGAATCGTCAAGACCGGCGGTGCCTGGTACGACATGCAGCGGTTCACTCAACAAGTCACCTGGAATGTCTGGGTTCTTTCCAAACACATGTTGATGGGGAGTGTAACCATAATTTTGAATCATTTGGTTCTTTACATGAGCATGTCGAACACAAGCTTCCCATTCTTCTCGAGTGGTTGGTGAATGTTCTAGGATTACCTTCTCAAGAACTTTGGAAAACCACCCGCCGTGAACCTCTGTCCTACCAAGCTGCCAGTGCGCTTCTGCTGGAATTGTTCGGACCACGATGCCCTGATCATCAAGGTACGATTGCATGGCTTCTCCTAGATTTGTTTGTGCACTATCCATGATGACTTCTCTAGGGATTCCTGCCCATTGGATCCAGTGACTATCGAACAGTTGTCGGAGGAGACATGAGGTTTCCCGTTCGAAGAAAGGAATCATCTGTTGGTAACAGGACCCTTGACAAACAATGTTTAGAGCTTTGACCTTCTGATTGACCTGCCAGCCTGGGAGCCATTTTACATCTATTCCTACTGACACATTGAACTCACAGGAGCGTGTCGGTTTGGCAGGCAATGGCACATGTGGTCGAACTTGGGACTTGCACAGGTCGCATTCCAACGTCTTGGCCATCTCAATGGCTTTGTCGGACGCAGATCCATGTCGGAGGATGCGAACCAGATCTTTAGTGCTACAGTGGCCGAGATTCTTGTGCAGTCGATGCAGGGCTCGTTTGATGGCTTCTTCATCCTCCCCTTGGATCTCTTCACGACTCACAAGTACTTCATGAACTTCCATGGGGCAATCATGCCTAATCGGCACGAGGTGCACCTGTTGGGCACGTTCAAAGGCCGGCACGGTCTTCAGAACAGCTTGTACAAATGCCGGTGTGTATTGTGCAACATATTGGCTAATCGATCCCACTTTAGCATGTGTTCCCGCCACCACGTCGTGACAAGTGTGATGGGGGTCTCTCTTTCCAGGACACGTGAGGCCTAGGGTTGTCATTGATTGATGACTCACAAGCAACCTGGTGGCCTTTCGGATGTATTGTTTGTTGTGGGGAAGTCTTAACCCAAACCTACACATGTGGCACTTGACATGGAAGTACTTGTTCAACAAACATTGCATCTCTTCATAGGTCCATGTCTTAGCTCCTAATGGATGTTCGAACAAGGCTTGTTTCCCGGCCTGTACTTGTTGCTCAAACAGGTCGCAACAGTAGCGAATGAACAACCGACTCAGTCGACGCTTTTTCAAATACTCCATTGGATCCATGGTACAAGCATTCAGGTTGAACCAACCACCTTCGTACGTACATGGAGGGCACAGTACCAAAAGATCTGGAGGATGCTGTTTGAGGAACTGTTTGGTTTCTTCTCGGCATTGGGCTTTTGAGAAAGCATACCCGGTTTTGAGATCACATGACATGGCAAAACCGCCTACTGCTTCGATGGACGGAGCGAAACGAGGAGGGCTGAAAATCTCAGCCAACATGAAACGCTTCCCCTGCACAAAGGAGCCGACTCGACTTGGTGCCTGCTTGATTTGTGCCGTCAACTGTCGGCACACTTGAACTGGCAGGCTCTCGATCGTGTTGACGTGTTCCTGAGGGATAAACACGAAGTCGGTTCGAGTTCTGCGAACGTCTTGCGGCAAAGGTTGGATATAATATCTCTTATCTTTGCTATGATCGATAGTTTGATCGCTCAATATCCTACCGGTGTCAAGATCATGGATGGTCCTGTGGATGACTGTGTGCCAAAAAGGGGCCTGTTTGCCCGTCACTGGCGTTAAGGTCAAACCTTCATCCACACGAGACCAAACAGACGACCCTGGATGTCCTGTGTCAGCGGAGTCTCGGGCCTGTTCTTCAAGATCTAAGGCGGTCTCTGGCATGGAAGGTGCGATTGTAGGCTCATGATCACAGCAACTGTTGGCTTCCTGAGAGGCCATAACTTCCGAGAACTGCACTTCCTTGCCCTTGGTTTCCTCGGGCAAGACTCGAATCATGAACTGTCCAGCGGAATTGGTGTGGAGAGGCACCTGCACTGCATCGTCAAATATGGTCATGGTGCCTTGTCCGAAGGCCAGTGTTGCCTTGAGTTTCTGAAGAGCTGCGCGCGAGATCAGCAATGGGGCTTGTCCTTGCACGATGGCTGCACGGATGGATCCAGACTTGCCAGCGATTCGAACTGGCATGGCCAGCACCTCAGTGGAGGCCTCTTTTTCACCATTGCCATACCTGAAGTAGTTGATCTCAGGCTCAGGCTCAGGGCATGACATGCCGTGTTGCTGCCACATTTGCTTGAACTTGGCAAGTGTCTCACGGCCGACAATAGTGCGGCCGCATCCTGAATCGATCACCCCGAAACCAGGGCTTGAAACCAGCAGAGTTTCGTGCACGGTCCAATCAGGAATCGAGGAATCTGTTGCTCGCTTCGTGGAACGCAGGATGTCAAGCGGCGACCAACTTGCAAAATGCTGTGCCATAGCAACAAACTGCTCATCATCTTCTTGGACGGGTTGTACCAGGGCTGCACCAGTCTCTGAGGAGCCCTTCGAGGAAGAGGACTGCTTGCCTTTGCCCTTTCCTTTTCGACATTCCTTGGACCAGTGTCCCAATTGTCCACAGCGATGGCAGCGTGTCTTTTTCTTCAACTCTTCAACTTCTACACGAAAACTTCTTCTGAGCTCATTGGACTTGGCGGCATTCGAAGAAAAGTTGCGAGCTTTCTGCAACCTCGACAGCTCTTGCCGTCGATCTTTCCAGCTGATCGCCAATGCTTCTGCGACCTCGGCCTCTTCATAGACTTCTTCTTCAAGAGCCTCGTCTTGCTGATACTCAGCAAGAAATTGTTCAACATCGTTGAAGTCGTCGACGAGGTCGGAGATCTCAGAAACGCGCTCTCCTACGATGGATTCTTCCACCATTGCAACGCCAGCTATGTGCTTCTTCTTCATCACGAACTCGGGGTAGCAGCTGCGCATTGCTTTGCCGATCTCCTCTCGCTTCATGACCCCTAAGGATCGAGCGACGACCACAGCTTTTTGTTCGTCGTTGAGCCCACTCCTGTGAAGGATTCTGAAGGATCAGCCATCCTCGAGCCTCCTCAGGAAACGTGACATTCGTTTTGCGAGCGCATCGATCGAACAACTCAGTGGCACGGCTAATCCAGGCTTTGAGTGTTTCACCTTCGGCGGCACGAAGATTGAAGATCTCGGTCAGCACCTCCGACATCTCATCGGTGACTTCTTTCTGAGGGAATCGCTGATCCAGAAGATCGAACAGAACTTTCTCACCGCCTTCTTTCTGGAATGCGCTAGGATCCAGGTGTTCTACACACTCCAAAGCCTTGCCACTCAAGAGAGTGAAAACATAGGCCCCTCAGGCCTCCTTGGGCATTTTGTCCAGCGTCATCATCTTCGACTGGACCCATGCTTTCCACCGACGGTAGTCCTTGTGGTCTTCGGACTCGCCAGAGAAAAACTTCAGACCACCTTGGTCTTGACTTGTAGCGGCACTCATGGCGGCGCCGAGTTCCTACTCGGAGCCTCGACCGTTTTGGCCGAGGCTCCGCTACCAATGTCGAAACACCGGTAGCCGACCGACTCCAGTCGATCGAAAACCCATCGGGCGATCCTTTTCAGCTCCAGCCGATGAATGTCCCTGCGGATACGACGATCGATATGCTTGCACCTGGAAGGAAGACATGGTTGCGGCACTCATGGAAGTCAACACATATATATATATAATATTTTCATACATATATATATAATATATATATAGACAATATATGAACAAATGAACGCACAGAGATATACCTATATGTACAAATATATGTATATATCTAGTTGAATGTAAGCATTTAATATCAAACATATCTTTCTTATTGCAACTTCCATTCAGCATTTCTTAAGATTTGGGTGAAGCTCCGCTGGGACAGGATGTGTCCTTCGCGCTGCAGCACGGGCAGCGGCTCATGATTTCCGGGCCGTCGGGCGCAGGGAAGACCACGCTCACGCGGGCGCTGGCGGGGCTGTGGTCAGGTGGGGTTCCGGAAAGGTGAGAGAAGGGGCAGGGAAAGCCAGGGAATGAGATGTGGATATTGAAGAATTTGAAGCTCTGAAACATTTTGAAAGTTATTGTCGTTTGTTCGCAGATGTTCGCAGTGATGGTGCTCTGCAATTGGAGTGCGGTTCTCAGTTGTTGGCACTGTCGGCGTCACCGCAGGTGGAGATGGACAGCTCAAAGTTTGCGAGTCAACGGTCTTCCTTCCTCAAGAGATCCTTGGCCATCACTGGATCGGTCATGTCAGGCATCCATCGGTTTGTTGAAGGGCGGGCGAGTCGGGGCCCGGCGCCCAGTGGTGAGTGGAGCTCGCCCTGGGTCTATCTCCCAGAATCTGGGACTGCATCTGAACAGTAACAAGGGGCGAGGTATGCCGAAAACCGTTGGGGGAGGGAACGTTCTTTTCAAGCTTTTTAGCTTGCTATCCCTCGTGTTTTGACGGGCGGCAGCCAGGGCATCCAGCACGTCAAAGATCCAGTCGCGTCCTCTCATTTTGGCCTTGAATCCGTGGACAGGACATGATTGCATGAAAGCAGAACGATTTTTTTGGTATCAAACACACCTGTTTGGGGACCGCTATATATCTCCTGGTGCGAAATCAGATGGACTTGAAATACTGGGGCTCACAACTGGAATGTCTCGAAGATATGTTCCTATCACTCAATACACTGATCAAGTAGACTGTGTCCTATCACTCCCACAGTCTGACGAAGGTCCATCTTTGCTCCATCAACCATGTTCAAAAAGTGGACCCGTTCTTGTGTCCACCCATCACCTTACTGCCCTCATGGCCCCATCATCCGCTTGGTCGTCTCGAACTCTGGACCGAAGTGCCGAGGCCTTACATCCCAGAGGGCTCCCTACGACGAGTGCTCACCTTTCCCCATGCCGTCCGGAGCGACGCCGCGATCCGGGCGGCCGCGCAGCGCGCGCATTTGGAGGATGTCCTGGGCCGCTTTGAGCAGCGCTTGGATGCGGAAGCTGACTGGGAGACGGTGCTGTCACGCGGCGAGAAGCAGAGACCTGGCTGGGATGACATAGGTCTTTAAAAGGTGCTTGGACACGGTCCTACTTGGCATGTGAAGTAGTGTCGATGGACTGTACTAGATGAAGAGTTCGCCAGATCTCTCTCTCTCTCTCTCTATGCCAATATTAATATAAGCAATGCCATGCAAAACAACCACGTACCTGGTAGTACCTGGCCTTCCCCCAAACATCACCAAAAACTTAAAAAAGACATGACAGATACTGAACAAATAGCATTTTTTTTTGCAAAGAATACCTGGCAATGTTACTTTTCCGCCCCAAACAAAACCCATCTTCCGCCCAAACCCGCAAAGCCGAGGCGCTGCGCCTTCTGCCGGCTGCTCCTGCTGTCCCCGAAGGTGGTCATCCTGGACGAGGCCACCTCGGCGCTGGACGAAGCGACGGAGGGGCAGCTCTACGAGGAGTTGTTGCAGATGCACTCCACCCCCACGGTGACCTGGAAAAAGGGGAATGGACAAAGGCATGGGATGGGAGGGTTTTTGGATGGGGGATGGAGATGGAAGTTTGGTCATGTTGGGTACAAGGACTTGTCAGGATTTGATTTCGCTTGGGCTCATTTCAAAGGGCCTAAGTGGCCTAAGACCAAGATGAAGTGAAAGACGTTTGCAATGGCATTTGTTGAAGCCCACGCGGCCCGCTACTAGGCATAGCGCGGGCGTAAGTAGCTGTGTGCAGACGTGCGCAGAGATGTGGATCCCACACGTGTACTTAAGGTATCTCAATACGAACCGCCTCTTGAAGGCGTTCCCGCCTACGTCCATCATGATCGGTGGGCTCGATCCCTTCCTTAGATGATACCGTTGACTTGGCGCACAAGGGTCGTATTAGTATTCTCATGTACTACGTCTGAAAACGTAGTGTGCTGAGGTCATCACGATCAGCCACCGCCCTGCTTTGAGCCGGTTTCACACCCATGTGCTGCGTTACGTCAAATGCCCGGAGAACGGGGCGACGCACTGGGCCTTCGAAGCCCTTGGAGAGTCCGGGGCCAGTCACAGAGAGAGCGCTGCCGAGTGGGTGGAAGGGGGTAGAGGGGAGTCGCTTCAGAAGAGGGCCCAAGAAGGTGGGACCTAGTAGATGTTACAGCAAATTAGCGACCAAAGTAGCGATGCACCTGTTATTACTAGATTCCCCAGCGGAACAAACCGGCCACACACCTTTCATTCCGTCCCTTTCATTTCAATTTCAATTTGATGGAGCTGATCCCATCCGCATCCATCACCTCACGGGGTCTTCAAGGGGTGCTTATGGTTACTAGCTCCCTGTGAGATGTGGATCCTGGTTCCTGGCAATAACTTTATTCAGCTATGCTATTTTTCGACCTGGACATATGTTCACAACAGGGTCTTAGGATATTTGTTCTGCATTCTTGTCCTGTCTCCTGTCTCCTCCTTTTCTGCCCTTCACATTCACATTCACCCGCTCATGTGTGGAGGTGACGAAGGTGGAGGAGTTTCAGGAGACGGACCGGGACGAGAGGGACGAGATCGTCGGTTGAAATCAGGGGGGTTTTCGAGATCGTCGGTGGATCCATCCAAAACGTCGCCGCCAGGAGGGCTCGTAATGTAGACTCTTGATTATCTAAAGCACCCCATTTTTCAATGGAACCTCCTCTTCATATGAAGACTCGGTTCCCATTGAAATGGGAACATCCTCTTGATGAGTCAGCACCCCATTGGGGTCTTATGCTCCTCAAGAGAAGACGCGACCAGTGCGACCACCTCCGCGCGGACCGCGCCGGACCGCGCCGGACCGGGTGCGAAGTCCAGGACCCCGCGTCAAGTCCAAACTCTGCTGACAAGGGAGGCGGGAGGGGCCTGACTCTTTGGGGGGTGAAAGGGAAGCGAGCTTCGAAAGGGGAGCTTGTTTGCAGGTCTTTTTTGCATGGAACATGGTGAGCTGTTTGCCTTGAGATGTTGAGGTTTGCCTGAGAAAAGTAGAAAAGCACAAACGTTGCCGTGCTAAAGTGAAGACGCCTCAGATTAGGTGGAGCAGTGCAGATTCCTTCTGCCGATCTGCGCACCAGCTCACCAGAAAACAGACACTGCCCGAATTTTTGCGACATCATTTTGGAGTGGTCAGTGGTACATGTTATCCACTGTAGTTGCTATAGTTCCCCGAGTGCGAATCTCCAGAGCCGCTCGCCATCATACGCATGGAAACCGTCCAGGGCAGGACCACCATCGATCCAGCGCCAGCGTGATCAAAATTCTTGAACCACCACCAGGTGATAAAGCAAGCACCGGTATACTGTAACTTGAGTGGTTCATTTCTTGGACCAGTTAGTAAAGTTTTTTTTTTTGTTTTTTGAACAAGGCCAAGTACATATTACGCCAATATTTTGAAAGATTACGCCAATCTTTTGTCAACAAACTATTTCTACAGCGCTCCATTGGGATTGGTGTGCAGCAAGCGTAGGCATATAAATCAATCAGCCCCACACTCTTTTGGAACTAGCGTCTCTTTGGGTCTACTTTTTTGGTGAGAAATCTTGTTTGGGTATCAGCGTTCCATTGGGAGCAGCTCCCTTGGAAACAGCGTTGCCATGGTGATTTGGCATTGAAACAGTGGCAAGGGATGACTAAGGGATGACTTTGTCAGGTTCCTGTACCGGTATACTGTAACTTAAGCGGTTCATTTCCTGTACCAGTCAGTAAGCGATGATCAATTTTTGAACAAGGCCTGCAACTGAATCATCATCATCCACTGTTACGGGTAATGGGATAGACACAAGGTATAACCTGGTTGGCAGGTGGTTTGTTCGCGCAGGCATGCCGCCCATCGACGACGAAGACGACTTTGCGGATGTCAACGTCACGGCCGCAGTGGACAAGCTTCTGGCCATGCCCTTCGAAGCGGCACTGAAGGAGTGCAAGGAGCTACGAGCCTATGCCGCTGAGCTCTGCAAGTTCGAGTGGACCAGGTCACATGGATCCGGTCGACATTTGCCCAGCCCGGCCACGACATAGAAAGAGACGGTTGCCCGGTTACTGATGGAGAATGTCACCCCTTCTTTCCCTTACGTAGCACCCCTCCAGAAAGCTGTGCCTAGCGAATCATGGATGTGCTGATTTTGGTTAATGGGATCAGGCGCATGGTTGTAGAGAGAGAGAGAGAGAGAAAGAGAATAAGAAACAAATTCAGATCAAGAACTTTGAAAGGCATCCAATCTACTCAAGAGTTCCCACACATGTATGGCATGATGTCTGGCAGATCTGAATGCTCGTGCCACCATCCCTGGATGGTGGGCGATTCTCCTGGGAGAAAAGCATCATGTAGATTCCAAGAAACCGATGCCAAGACTCCCATCTCAGACCAGAACCACTCACCGAACCAGACTTCCCATCCCGTCTCCCACACCATTCCACCCTGGAGCGAGGTGCACAGCTCGGAGCGGAGCAAAGTGGAGATCCAGGAGCTGGAGGTCCTCCTGGCTCGTCCCGAGCGCAGTTTTTCTCGCTTCATTTGTTAGTTCTCGTTTGGGCGATGGTTGCCTTGTGAAGTCTTCATGTTCTACCGTGGGGAGACGGGGCGGCGGTGAACGTGTGTTTTTTCTTCTTTTTTCCAACTCATTTTCGTTTTCATTCTTGGCTCAGTGAAATCCGTCCGCACACGGTCCACAGGTGGTTGGGGTGAGAAGGTGTTGAAGAGTTGGGGCGGCAGGTAAACCAAAAGGAAATATGGGTGTGGAAGCTGCGATGGCTCGTGGGACTAGATGACATTGGGGCCTCGCACGATTGTTCAGTCCATCTGAGGTCACCGAACTGCATGAAACCTTCGTTTTCGGTGCACGATCTCTCGGGTCTGCAGTGGTTCGCCCCACGCAGCAGCCGAACCCGGTGCTTCACTCCTTTCTCCGCGCCCCACGGATCGGGCAGTCCGCTGATCGCCGCAGGCAGAGATCAAAGACTCCTGGAGCTCCGACGCGCCCACCGAGCTGCGAGATCTCTTGGACACTTGGGGCTCGGTCTGGGGGGGGTACCCGAAGAGGCTGGGGGCTGGAAGTGGGAGCCGGAAGTGGACTGGGATTCGATGGGTTATGATAGGTTGGGGGGGCATGACGTGGATGAGAGGTTAAAATCTCTTCCTGTATGCACCATGGTGTAGTGGACAGCTGACCCTCTTGGTAGAGCAACATCGTCTTTGAAGGGGCCAGAACGTCCACTTCCATGATTGTTGTGGGGAGGGTATCTACGAATCTACTAGACTGGCAGGTTTGGACATCGGACCCTGTAGTAATCTGAAGTATACTGTAGTTACTGTAGTTGGTAGGACCTGAAGACCCACAGATTGACTGCTTCAACTCGCTTTCTCTGGTGGGGCCCTCCGTTTCCACTTCCCACCGTGCTTCTTTGAGGAGGAGCTGCTCTTCCCGGAGATTGCGAAGCGAAGAGCGGCGCATGCGGGGCCCCTGTCTCGATTGTAGCCTGTCCAGGTGGAGCGCATCATTTGGCGCCCAACTCTTGGGCTTCTAACCTGAGCTGCAAAGCTAGGTGTAGGCAGTAGGGCAAGCCAGTATGTCCAATTGGCCTTTCATGGCCCCTTTGGAATGCTTCTAGGCCTGGCACGGGACTTGTGAAGTCTGGTGCTAGGAGAAACCAAAGTCACCAGGTGAGCCGGAAAACTGAGCCAAAGTGGCCAGTGGGTGGGCACTTGGGTGGGTCGCAAGCTTCATCGTTCTCTCTGACCAAAGCCATGCATGATTTAATTATTTTTGGGTGGTGCTGGCTAATCACTCGATGGCTGGCGATCCACCGTCTTCCCAGCCTAATCCAACCTCCCAGGCTGCTATGGGAGCGCTGGGCGAACCTCATCTTCGCGGAGGCCAATTGCTGTGCGAGAGTGGTCAACTTCGGATGAGGGTCGCATGGCCCAGCTCCTGTATTGCGAAGCTCCTGCTAGTTCTCCGTGGGGCATTCCGGTAGTTATTCTCCGTGAATGGGGGCTTCCAGTATTTCCCTGACTAGTTCACGGGTGGGGTTTGGGTTTGCTGCCCTTATTCTATGTCACTCCTTCGTGCTGTTTTGGATTTGCCACTTGCTTTTTGAGAGCGTGCTTGATGATGCCAAAGTGTTGTGTACCCAGGTTGGGTCAACAACACGAACATTTCATTAATGGATTTTATTAAGATGCCAAAGAATACCAATCCCATATTGAATTCATGGACCCTTCATCCTACAGCTGTATCCTCTCAATCTATTCGTGGCCGAACAATCCACATAAAGTAAAACGAGATTGACCCAGATATGCAACCCTTTTTGTAATGAAGAACTCTTAGCATATTCAACTAAACAGGAGGGACAATGAACACCACAAAAAACATTAGACCTTTTCATACCTTTTCCAGATAGCCTGTTGACAATCTCTAGCGCCAGAGAGGTGCACAGAGAGAGAGAGAGAGACAGACAGACAGACCTGGTCAGTATAAGCCGATCAACGCACTTGAGCCCCAAACCCGCACTTGCGGAAGCAGAAAAGGCATTTCCGCACAATCCGGAACACTGCCACTCTTCATCGAAGGATAACTGAGACCGTTTTGACCATTGTATCCCATGTTCACTCCTTGTGAATGGTGTGGCACTTTCTGTTCTCGCAACGCCCGGACCCTTCGCACCCATGTCATGTGCTGGTCCCACCGCACCGCCCGGCACCTCTCGGCTCCAGCGTGCTCGATCCAGCCATGGCGCCCGGACGCAAGCGCGACCGCTCCAGAACGCCGGAGGCGGGGCAAACAGGGCGGGGAGAGAGTGGGAGAGATCCTCAGTTGTTGAGATGAATTCGCCTCCCTGCAACTACCTTCATGGTCTAGAGTCTACTGTAGTGGACAACCTCCTGTTAATATGAGATTATATCACCATGAGAAAAACATATTAGTATATGTCTTCCGAGCGGCCAATTGTCCACTTTCATGAGTGGTTCGCAAGTATTGAGTTATACCTCATCACCATCTCCAGAGATCACTTAGATATCCCCGCCCTACCGCTCTAAGTCACATAGTTTTTGCAGAGTTACAACTCTTACTAAGACACTGCCCCAGCAGTGTTGAAGTGCGAAAAGACCACTGACCCGCAGCCAGGTGCCATGGGAGCTCTTGCCCAATGGTAATGCCGTAGGTATTCGCTCCACAGGCAGGTCTGGGAAGCGGGAGCCGAGGCTTCGGATGCGCCCAGGGCGAATGGCCTGCCTTTGGTCATGCAGGACACAGGGGCCCTCAGGTCAGGTCTGGCCGAGGTCAGGTCGTGGGAAAGGCCTACACCCCATCCAAGTTGCACCAAACAAGGGGACGTAGAACCAACGAACAACCCGGTGGGCGCCAGTTCCTGCCAGGCTCTCGGTCCAGATCAGTTGGCACCTGGCCTTTCAAAAAGAGGGCTTGGGCTCAGGGAAGGCAAGGGTTTCAGGGCGGGTGAGGTTGGAGAGCTCCTCCAATCCGTCATTTCTTTGCGGACACCTGGGAGATGATTGCTTTTGGCCGTGAACACCTGCTCACGGTCCTGCCACCAATATGATCCACAGACTCCACGTTGACATCTTCAACTGAAATTTTTTGGGGAACATCGGGGAACCCGCCCATTTTGCGGCCCCCCTCTTTGGTCTTTGGATAGTAGTCTTGGCATCCACTTGCCAGGATTCTTTCTGGGAGAACTCTTCATGACCAACGTGAAGAGTCCAGAAAGACTCAAGAACACCCCAACAAATACCTAGCCATTCCACTGACCCATGTTTTCCGGGCTTGAAACACAGTCAAGGGCCGCACCTGTTTCTGCTTTCGAGAACAAAAGCCTTCGGTGTTCGCACCGTCTGTCAAGAGACTCCCCCTTTCGCACTTTGCGAAATCATGAGGAAAAGGTTGGCTCAAGGCTATCGTCCAGCCGAGCTCTTCCAATACTCGGCTCTCATTCGGTCCATTGACCAGCCTTTCTTGGCGTTCATCTTCTGAAATCGGTTCCAGGGATTTGTCGGAACCTTTTCAGCCAGTTGGCTGTACTTAAAAACAGGCTTCTCTGCAGCCCTTTGCAGCATCTCAGACACTGCTTCGGCACTTTCAGCAGCACGATCGGCGGCATTTGCTGCCCTCAAAGCGATTCGCGCAGCCTTTTCTGCTTCTGACACGGCCTGAATGGCCTGAGTGCTCGACGACGATGGTTCGTCTTCTTGTCCCTGTCTCCTCGGACTGGACCTTCCTCGCAGGGCTTCCGGCGCAGTTGATCGTCCAGCACCACCACCCTGCCACTTCAGAACCCTCACCATAGAGCTCGTCCGGCTCGTAGTGCTCTTGCTTCGAACCCCTTCTTGTTTTCGAGTTCCCTTTGGCGCCATCTCTTCATTAGCGCTCTCTTCTTCATCTTCTCCTTCTATCTCAGAGAGAAGCTCCTCCTCATAGTCCAGCGACCTGGTAGGTGTTCTTCTCATACTTGGTCGCCTCATATTCATTGATGTAGATCGATCCTCCTCTCCATCCTCCTCTTCTTCAACCATGTGCTCTTTCTTCGATTTCACACACAGTCTGCGGATGCAACACCGCACTGAGCCGCACAGAGTCTTCACCACCCATATTGCCCCAATGATCATCAAAATGATGCCACACGTCCAAAGGGCGTCCACGGATGTAGATGCCTCTTGAGTGCTGGAATGTGGGAATGTGGTTCAGCCTGTGCTTCAGCTGCTTTGATCAGCAAACCACCCACCACCAAGGCACGTAGAGCTCCTTGTTGATCAGGTAGTTCATGAGATTGTCCTCCCAAGGCAACCTTGTTCACTTTGGCCTCACTGGATCTCAGGCCAAGGTCTTCCAAGAAACCTGCAAAGCTTTGACCGGCCAGGGGCTTCGTCATGCCATCTGCAACCAGCTCCGTGCCACGTAGATGGTGAAGCTTCCAAGGCCCCCCAGGGTACGAGCTTTGTCCATCCAAAGCTTCATGAAGCAGGTGGGAGCGAACACGTAGGTGTCTGGTTCGCCATGATGACGTGCTGTTGCCATGGGCCAAGCCAATCGCTGCGGCATTGTCACCATACAGAACTCGCTCCAGGGTGTTCTTGGCATTCAGCTCCTCCCCCCACATAGCACACCAAAGCGCCTCTGTTGCTCTTCCAGCTGTGAGCGCTTCGCAGTAGGACACCAACTCCGATTCTGCCGTGCTGTGGGTGACAAAAGGTTGCGTTGAGCTTTGCCATGCAACCGGAGCTCCTGCCAGGCTCACAACCAAGCCCTGAACGCTGCGATGCCCAGTGCCAGACCCATATGCAATGTCTGCAAACACCTCCAGCAGCTTCTCGTGACGCGCCACCTTCAACTGCCCCCGAGCGCCCCACTTCTGCTTCACCCAGCGAGCATAGTGAAGATCTCCTGGATTGCCCTTGATGTAGGCGAGCAACACATGGGCCACCTCTATGGCTTTCACGGGATTGCGAGTCACCAGCCTGCTGACCGCCGCCACTCCATACGATAGGTCTGGACGCGACCGAGTCGAGAGCCAGAGGAGAGATCCAGCCAGTGCCTGAGCTTCACGAACTTTGTTTATGTCCACCTCCGGCTGCTGTTCACAATCGGCCTCTCCAAGCTTGAAGTGCGGGAAGGACAAGGATGAACTCACCTTCCAGCGGGCCAAAAGTTCTTGCTCATACTTTTGCTGCGAGATGTGATAGCCATCACCCTCCTCATCCATCGTGACTTCAAACCCACAGAAGTGCACTGGCGTGGTAGGTGACGCCCATTCAACACTAGAAGTTGCCCAGGTGGACTGCAAAGTTGTGAGGGCTGCTGCAATGGCTTCCTCCTCCCCTGACATCAAAATGTCATCAACGTAGACAGACATGAGGCCAGACCAGACTTCCTCCCCCGAGATCGTGTCCGTCTCCTCCAGCCGCCATAGGTTGTCATCGGCCGTCTTGACAAAATAGCCTCGGACATTTCGATCTCCTCGAACTCGAACCCAGCTCAGCGATGGCAGGGTCAGATCGCGGTGTTTCGACCAATCCCGCGGAGAAGTCGTCAGGCCGTACATGGCCAATTTCACCAACCAAACCTCTCCTTCCTTGGCTAAGCCAAGTCTTTTGTAGACATTCGGAATCTCCATTGCAACCAGTTTGCCATCATCTCGACGTGGTGCATTGAGGAATGCCACACGGATGTCCGTGGCTGCCAGACTCCACCCTTTCAATGCCGATGTTCTTAGCAGAGCTCTCACTTGACATCCATCGGCTCCTCCGGCGTAGCAATCACTGCTGAAACGCGTATCGGAGTAGTTGCCGCAAACCACAGCTCTTGCCCTTCGTTGGCCGGTTCCAGCCTTGCGGGTGTAGACCATTTTTGCTGGCAATAGTTCAATGGTCTTTTGCTGCTTTTCAGCTCGATGGTGGAGTTCCCGCTTAGAGATTTGTTCAACCGCCTCCTTGGTTTCAACCAATTGGCTGTACTCGGCCGTGATGGATGGTACCCAGTTCTCGAAGTCATCCATGACCTCCTTGTTCCCCACCGTTCGGGTGACCAAGAATTCTTCCTCCAATTCTTTCTGGTCCATCTCTAGGCCTTCTTGATCAGCCTTCAGCAGAATCTCCTCGGCCTCCACCTTGTGCATGATGGCTTCAGTGAGCGCCTCCATATAGCACCCTTGCTTGTGGTTGGTGACATCAACGTGCTGCATCTCCTCACCAACATACTCCGCCAGATTCGCTTGGATTTTGCGAACAAAGCCGACCTTCGTGAGAGGGGCATTCCCAAGTGCCACTTTCTTCAATGAGGCCACCAGGCGTGAGCCACCATCCTGGTTGTTAGGCGCCTCCGCCCACTCCCCACCTCCAGTTGAGTCCTCCTCCATCGAATCCGATGCACTCTGGGAAGCCCTCTCACTGGATGACGATCGGTCCGGCGTTTCGATGGTCCAGCTGTCACTGCTCACCTCACCTTCCAACCTCAAAGCATCTTGTGGTGCAGGATGATCAAACTGATCTCGATGCAAACAAAGCCACTTTTGGACCCAATCCTCCCCCTCCATGTGCAACATGGAAAGCTGCGGAATTGCTGTCTTTTCTCGAAGCCTGCGACGTGGAACACCACCCTCCCAAAAACCTCGAACCGGCGAATCGGGCAACTCGGGCAAGTGGACCAAGGCTTCTGCGGACTCAGGTTGGTCAGCATTGGGAACCACCACATCATCAGTATAAAAATACCTTTGTGTCTCAACCGACTGGACATAGTAGCTTGTGGTGGTCAAAGAGGATTGAATTGCTGGGCCCAAAACAAGAACTTCATCCCTGATCTCACGCCAGGGCTGATACCTGTCCTGCCAGGATTTCTTCAATGCGAAGGCACGAGCTCCGAAATGCAAGAGCGGGCCCACTGGACAACCAAGGCTCCTCAGCTGACCTCTCAGCCGGCGTTCGCCGATGTGAATGGCAGCCAACGGCCAAAACTCCAGGCCCTTGCCCAAAGCAGCGACCACTGTGCGCACATGCTTCTTGATGACGCCCAGTTCCCCTTCCACACGGCCATTGGACTTGAAAGAGTCACCTGATGTCAGGGTGGTGACAATGCCACGATCCAAAGTCCATCTTCTCACCGGCGCTGATATTAGCTCTCGTGCACGATCGCAGTGAATGCGGTACACAGGGAGTCCAAGGCTCCTAAGTCGAGCATAGATTCTGGCCAAAGCTGGAAGGATGTGTGTGACTGCCCGACCTGGAAGCACCTCCACAAAGGTCAGGTTGCGAACCTTGACTTCTTGCTCCTCCTCCACCGCTTTGTGCCATGCCTCAAACTCTTCTTGGCCCTTCCGAACCCCCGCCTCCGTCACACCGCCAACACACTCATCCTCCGCCGCCTCCGCCGTCTCTGTCAGCTCCTCCCCCAGACCCCGTGCCTCTTCCGCCTCCAACATCACGACATCGCCGGGATCATCTGGTGGCTCTGAGGGCGTGTACTCATCGGCGTCCACGTTGAAGGAACTCGGATCGGCCTTTTCCGGCACATCAAGTGGGCGGCTGTTGGGAAGCTCAGCCAAAGGATTTCCAGCCTTGTCCACGGGAAAGGTGTACACTGCCACCATCATGTACCTGCATTCATGGCGACTTTGATCATGACCAGCCACCATTTTTCCTGAAAGGGCAACACTCAGGGTGTAGGCTTCTGGATGGCTTACCCTCTTGTGTGGTTTGCTTCTTGCTGATGCTTTGACGCAATGCTTGCAATCTCTCCGGGCCGGCATGTGGTCGTTGAGATAGTGAGCTCGCCACGACTCTAAAGCCACCTGACCCAACGGACGAAGAGCAGCTTCCAGCGAAGGTGTGGTGCCCCGATGCAAACGATCCTGGATGGCCAACACCAATGCAACTTTCAGACCAGGGGCCCATGCAGACCAGGACCTCGACTCTTCACAACGTTCTTGCAGGGTCATGTCATTTCGATCAGGTACTTGACCTTCAGGTTGAACCCCACTTGGCGGTCCACGAACACCATTCAACACCTGAATGTCCCTGAGCACAACTGCCAATGTCGTCGGCTTGCGCTTCGTGTGGCCCATCGGACCCTGGTCGAAGTGGAGCATCTTGATCTGGTACTTCGTGGCAAAGTCCTGCCATTCACGAGTGCGCCAGATCGACATGAATTTCTTTTCTTCAACTTCAGCATGAGGTCTGTAACGAGCAGGGTCCTCTGGCTGTTCGATAGCAAGTCCTGTCTGGGGCTCGTCGGGGAAGCGCACATCCTCACATACCATGTACATGGCCAGCATGCGAAAGAGCAGCACGCTATCGCCCACCACCAACTCCTGCTCGGCTTCCTTCAGCGTTGGAAGGCCATAAGGATGTTCTTCCGACCGAAGGACTCCAGGACCACCATCATTTTGGTATCGCAAGGCCGACACCGTGCGACAGGGCGGACCGCCCAGTAGAGTCTTGACTCGACCCGAAGCCGCCAGCATCAGGAGGTACCGGAAGACGTTGTCATCATGGAGATCAGCCGGTACCTGAGCATTGAGGTCCACGCAAAGCACCTCCACTCCATTGCCGGACAGCTTCTTCTCCCAAAAACGTTGGTCAGGGAGGTGCACGACCACCTGCTTAGCATTGGCGATGTTGCGCCGTTTTCTTCGATTCCAGGGCAAGCGGCTTCCGTCAATGCCGTCCTGCACATAGGTCATCTCTGGAATCACCCTCATCAAGATCTCATCAGGGAGAGCTGGAAACAATGCTTTCAACTTCACCGTCAAAGCCAGCTCGATGTCATTCTTCATGTCGGCCGCTCCCATGGACTTTGGGTCCGCAAACAATGCATTCACCAGCATTGTCTTCATGGCGACTTTCAACTGCCGGATCTCCAACTTGTTGATGAGCTCTCGTCCCACCTCCTTTGAGACCATGGGGCAATTTTGGTTAATGGTCACAGCGACCTCCTTGCCTTGTTCATCGCAAAGCCAGCATCGTGCTCCCTTCCAACCAAACCTGTAGCCCATCTCCGTGATGCCACCCATAGGAACTATCCAGGACTGCTTTGCTTCATCCTCCTGTGGTGACGAGAGGAGCACCTTTGAATTCGGCTTCAACCTCAACTTGTTAGTGATCCCGTCAGCCAAGGAGACTTGAGTGGGATCTGCGCTTTCCCACTCTTCCATGCTAGTTGCAGGCCGCAATGCATGGGTTGCACCTGAGTCCAGAAGAACCATCATGGAGCTGTTGTCATAGTCCAGCTGGCTCACCTTGATCACCCGCAACTGCGGTGCTCTGAGCGACTTCAACAGCTTCGTGGCTTCTTGAAGCAACACTTCACTTGACGTAGCTCCAGTCTCCCCACCACCACCTTGCTTCACTGCTGCTCCACCTCCAGGTTCCCCTTGTGGCATGGCTGATGCTTGCTCACCAGCATCCATCTCCTGAAGCTTGGGCGTGGCATAGGTAGTTGCCGGACTTGGAGCCCCAGCGCCAGCTGTTTTTGGCGCACCAGCATGAAGAGCCGTCTGGCCCTTTCCTCCCCCTGAACCTGCCCCAGGTTCACCAACGGGCTTGTTGTCCTTATTGGAGCCTTTGGATTGCGAACCCTTCACCTTGCACTCCGACTTGCGATGGTCTTTGCCCCCGCAGATCCAGCATCTTGCATTCTTGTCCTCCACCCCGTCCCATGAATGCGACCACTTGCAATTCTTGCCGGCCTTGCATCCAGTGTCCGAGCGGAAGTATTTGCAGGGTTGAGCCACCGTGGAAACACCCTTGCCCTTCTCAGTGGAGCCACTTGAAGTCGTAGGCGGCTTGGATGGAGCATCCATTTGCTTGACCTTGATGGCCGGCTGTGGTGAGGCAATGGGTGCATTGATCATCAGCGAAAGCGTCTCCGCTTCTGCAAGCAAGCATTGGCTGAACCGCCAGACACCTTGGTGATGAGGACGTTGATCAATGCCCAATTGCAACCTGCTCTGCGCCAACCGAAACGAGGCTTGAGAGTCCTGAGCTGCAATCATCGTACAGGCTGGCTCCAAAGCTGCCAGCAACAAAGTGCCATCAGGAAGCACCGCATCGATCTCACCAGCTCTGGCGAAATGACGTCGCCACGACCTCAAGGCAGCCGCGAGCTCCGTGATCGTCGTGCCCTTGTCCAAGGCCGTCAACTTTGAAAGCAAAATGGCTTTCTCTCCAGAGCCACCAGGCTGGTACCTCACCATCAGGCGGAAGAGCAATGCCGTGGAGTTCAACTCTCGCGCTGATATCAGCGCCTGCTGCTGGTCGGCCGGAATGGCCCTGAGGAGCAAATTCACCCCCCTCTGCTCTGTCCTCTGGTAGCCACCATCGAGGAGCTCATCCGGCAGGCGTGGGTTGATCTGCACCCGCTCCAGAGGTGATGATGTCTTCCACCTCTCATAGAAACATTGGGCCTCCCTCAAGGTCAAATTCCACCACCTGGCGCTGACTTGGGAGATGTCCCGAAGGACGGGGCCACAGACCGCCAACCAATCACCCAACTCCAACGGAGATGCATCCGCTGCAAGTTCTTTCAATTCAGCCTTGCCATTGGCTGCCCCCTCATTCCATGGCAATGGGGCTGGTGCAGGATTGTCTGACCCCCGCCAACAACCATAAGCTCCACTAGGAGGTTCCGCAGGCGGAAGCTGACCATCACGGCCTCCAGGTACAGCCACCCACGGGTTCATACGACCAGGGATTCCATTCGTCACACCATGAAGATCGTGGCCACATAGGAATGGATCATGAGCACCTCGACCAGGTAGTTCATCTCCTGGTGGAATCACTGGTGGATGTACCATCGGCACATCCTCGTGACCTTTGGCGCACTGCCTGAAGGATGCTGCTGCATTGTCTTGCATCCGTTGCATTGACTTCTTCAAATCACTCACCTCCTCTTCAAGGCGGGCTGCACGCTCCTCATTGGGCATGATCGTTCTCCCTTCTCGCATGCTCATAGGAAGCCAGTGTTCATCACCACGGCCATGACGTCGCGACTCCAGCCATTCGTAGCCCTGCAAAAGACTAATCGCAGCCGAGTCACTGGTGGGAAAAGGCGGCAATGAAGCATCCGGAGGCGGCCCAGGAGGAACACGAGTGCCATTCGGCGTGAACTTAGCACCCTGCTCTTGCCGAAGCCTTCGTGTAGTTGGACTTCTCCCCCGCGGCGTGCTCTCCTTTCCACCCTCATCATTCGCAGTGCCCTGCAGATCCCCATTGGACCCATCCACTGTCTCCCATGATGAAGGAGTCGACATAGGGCCTGCGGCCGCCGCTGTCACCTTAGCCATCTGCTCCTTGAGCTGGGCAACTTCCTGCATCAACTGCTCATTTTGCTCGCTCAAAAAGGTGACCATCTCAGCCTCGATCGCCCTTTGCAAGCCGCTTTCCGCTTCCTTCTTGGCAGAGGAACGTGGCTGGGCCTTCATTGGCCTCGGAGGGACCTTTGTCGGTGGCATCGGCCCCATAGTTCTTTTTGCCTCCTTGGAGGGTGCAGTGGTTACCTCCCCCGGCATCATGCCTTCGGATCTCCTCAAACCCAACTGCCCTTTGCTTTCCGGATCTTTATGACTGGGTGGCGTGACATACATTCTTCCTCCAGCAGCCGAAACACCCCGGCCGCTGCCCATGCCATAATCGGTGCTCAGGTCCTGCACCGTATCCAGATCCTCCTCGTCAGTGGGGATTGGGAGATTCTCAGGCCGTCGTTGACGAAGGAGGACATCATTCTGCAACCTTTGCGACCAAAACGGATTCACCTCCGCTGTCATCTCAACCCCCGAACCAGGGGGCAAAGAACGTGCCCGGTCCATGGCGACAAGGTCCTACCGTCCTACCAAAAACCTGAGGTGCGTTCTTGGGCTCATAACCCTTGAAACACAGTCAAGGGCCGCACCTGTTTCTGCTTTCGAGAACAAAAGCCTTCGGTGTTCGCACCGTCTGTCAAGAGACCGGGAAACCGCCCCGGAAGCGAGCCCCAGCACCGCGGCCCCGAGCCGAGACCGTCCGGCCAACGGTCGCGCCAATGGGCGACCGGCGGCACCGGCACCGGTGGACCCGGCGCTGCTGGCGGCGGAGGCCCACGAGGCGGAGCGTGGCTCGGCCGGAAGTGTCGGGCAAGGGGGAGAAAGAAGGACCAACGTCCCTGGAAGCATCACTAGGTGATGGTTTCGGATATTTTTATTTTTAACCCTTACTTGGGATGATTGGAAGTGGACTGAATACACCAACCAGATCATATGAAGCCTCATGGAAGTGGATTGAGTGGATTCTGGATCACTGCACCTGGTTTTTGGGGTAAGACGGACAATGGAAGGGTCATCCCGGGATTTCGTCTCCACTCTTCTTCATGACTAGGCTGCTAGGTATCTTGGGCGCCATCCGATTTTTCATGCATTAAGCCTTGATGGATGTTGTTCTTTTCTGATTCTTGCGGTCACAGTCAGACTGCATGAAAAGTGGACTCCTTTTCTGAAAAAAAGGCCACCGCGACGTTTGTCGAATTCTCACTGATGGGCTCCGGCTTTTGTGCCATGGATGGGCACACCGATGACCGATGAGTTTCCTGACCGATGACTGGCGAGTTGCCCTGGATTGACGGTGCTCGAGGTCCAAGGACGCGACGTTTCAATCAAGAGACGCGAGCGAGGCGAGCAAAGGGACCCCCCCCACTCAGCTCCTGAGAGTTGTGAGATGTGCCTGCCGTTCCCGTGCCCACTGCGAAGGTCACGTGAAGGTCACGAACCCATCGATGTAAGCTACGCCTTGTCAAGGAAAATGGTCCTCCATCGATCCCATCGAGTTGACCGGGGGTTTCGAGGTGACCTGAAGTTCCCCACCCAGTGGCGGCCTGGGGATTCCATGCGGTCCGGATCGGGGAAGTGCCTGAGGTTGGTCCGTGCAGCCCTTCACTTTCACTCGACCGATTTGATCCGCCATCTAAGGAGATGCGTGGAGACGGCTGGTGATCTTATTAGCGCAGCTGAAGGGGGATCGAAAAGTGGAGCAACTGCTGAAGGAGAAACATCCTGAACTCATGCAGGTGGCAGCGCCTTGCTTGAGAGTGGCTTCTTCCGCGCGTGCGGTGTGAGGTTTTTTCTCAGTGCGCAAGTGCGGAGGCCCAAGTGGCTGTTATGATTTCAGCCGTGGCTCTTCCACAGTTCTGCTGAACTTGCTGATTCCTGATTTTTGATACCAGTGGGGGGCCAACTCTGCAGTTGCTTGTGTGTACGATGACTTTTACACCCAACGCATGCCAAAAGCATGCCTTGAGTCCCCAGCGGGAGCCTCCTTTTCTCAAGCCTTCTGGGCCAAGAAGGAGTCTGATGACCACAATTGACTAGGTATTTCCTCCGATACTGCAGGTGCACCAGAACTTGTCTCAAACATCCAGGTCACCTGGGAAGACGCGGATTCATCCGCCATCCGCCCAAACCCTATCAGCTTGATCAAGCACCAGGGGCACCAGATAGACGGGCCTTCTTCGGCTGGGTTTCTTCATAATGCTGTTCCTTGGCCTTTCTGAGCTTTACATTGCACTCCCTGGAACTAACATGGAAGTGGAGAATGCCCCCCTTGTAAGACCATGAAATCCACTACAAACAGGTGGTTTTCCACGTAACCATGTTAGTTCCAGGGGGAGTATACTTACAGTTGTTTCGGATGGCACGTCGGGGCCCTCAAGCTCGGTGCTTGATATATGGAACCACATACCAAAGACATGGCTCGGCATGCCACCATCGAACCTCTGAAACCACTTTTCCCTTGTGGTTGGATTTGGCACCGTCCTGACCCACTTGGGTTCGGGCCTGAGGACAAATGCGGAGCCTCCGGCAAGGCCCCGCGGTTCGGGCTTCAAGCGGCTGTTGCCAGCACGCGGGATCTCGCAGGAGTTGCAAGCAACGCAAAGCAAAGGGGTGTGGGGCTCTGGTCCATAAGTCATCCCAGACCATCCAACTTACAATGGATGTAGAGGACTGGAGCTGTTGGTTTGGCATGGCGTCTATGCCATGAAATCCTCCATGCCATCCTCCCATCCTCCCCAGGAGTACATGTTCATCACAGGGAGGTCTTTTCACATCTGAGCTCCACGTTCAGCAACCATTTTTTGCCCAAACCAGGCATTTGTCTCGATGGATGAGGGTGACCAAAAGGAATGAGCTAAGATTAAAGTTCACATATTCAGCCTTTCCTCAGAATGGTGGGTTTGTTGCTACCAAATCCGTTTCGCAAGATCCAGAAAAGGCCTGGGAGCGTAGAAAGCACAACATATTGCCAAACACCATACATCACCATACAGCAAGCACTCTTAACGCTAGCCCAGAAAGAGATGAGCAAGCACAGGGGCTTCATTTTTCACCTTTAAAGATGCCACCCATGACCGCTTATACAACACCGCACGGTGCCTTCCCGGCTGCGCCATGGCCGAAGTGCGCCCCAAGCTCTTCCTGGGCACTGCGGGAAAAGCACCGCCACTGGGCGTGTCGCACGTACTCTCGGTGGGCGCGGGCGCTTGGAAGGCCCTCGAGCTCGATGAGAAGCAGCTTAAGAGACTTAGGCACAAGATTTGGGGGGGTGTTGATGGGCTTCATCAAGGGCCTAAGGCTGAAGACATGCAAAGCATTGACTTTAGTAAGAAGAGGGGAGGTCAGTGTCAAGGCATCTGACTGCCTGAAAGCAAAGTATATAAGGGCAGAGGAGCAAGAAGTGCATGGTAGCTGCCGGATCAAGCATGTCAAACAGAACAAAGCAGCCCACTCCAACTAGCAGGAGCAATGGGCCGTTGGGCAAGCCAACCGAAAGAGCTCTCTTCCCGTGGAGTGCACGAGCAACAGCCCAAAACCAGCGATGACCACTTTAATTAGTAAAGAACAGTCGGGAAGTCCCAAAAGCTTGATGAACCAATATATATATATATATTGATATATATATATATACACAGATATATATATTTTTTTTAAATGTATATATATATATATATCATAAGTGGTGGAACTCTTGTTGAACTTGCTCCTGGCAGCACTCCCAGACTCTGTGAAGGCAGCGCCCCACCAAGGAAGAGAAAGGTGGATGGCCGCTCCTCTTCGGGCCGCGTGTACCTCCAACATGGAGGCCCAAGACAAACAACACCAACAAACGCCGAAAACTGGGATGGCTAAAACTCGTTGGATGAGGAAAAAGCCCAGGCCATCCAAGGCCATTGGTTTACGGTTCGGACGGATGGAGGGAAGTTCGGACGGACGGAGAGAAGGACGAGGTGGAGAGAAGGACGAGACAGAGTCCTCCCTGATTGGGAAAGCACTCTTTGCCACTTTTTATCTTCCCAAAATGAATGGTTGGTTGGGTAGGGACATTTTGGGATTTGAAACATATAGGGGTAACTCCTGATCTTGATGCCATTTTGGCTCAAGATCAGGGCAGGGATTTGTTTTTCCGGGCCCCGCTATGCCTCGGATCACCCGATCGACTGCGGCGGTTTGGAACCCCGGGTCGAGAAGGTGGCGGAGGGCTCATCGCGGTGTGGACCCGGCGACGATTTCTGCCGAAGATCGAAGGGCTGACCTTGGTGCGCGGTCAGCTTACATCCTGGCTATTTGGGATACAGTGGAGCGCCGCCCGGATTTGGAGGCAGACTTCTGCCGGTGTTGTGGGGTATTTATAGCTTCTTGGTGCGAGGGCTGCTACTTCCGCCTACCGGAGAGCTTCGGAGCGGTGTGCGCGGAGTGTGATCACCTGCACTTGGTCTGTGACCGGTGCAGGTTTGATCACATTTCTTGGGAGCAAGGCCATGCCGCGTTCATCGAACAAGGGGGCCAAGACACCGAGGACCAGGTCCAGATCACCGGTTGGGGTGACCGGACCAATCCACCCCATTTCGAAGCTGCCTCCAGCCAGGTCTCCATTGAGGAGGTCGCGCAGATCCTCGGAATCTCACCTCAAAGAGCAGCTGTCCGGTACCACCCAAGCAGCCTCCAGTGGATCCTCAGCGACCGGCCCTCCCTAGGCAGCCCATGCCACCACCAGGACCTCCTCCACTGCGGCTGAGGAGGCCACGGTCGCCCTCTGTGTCGCCAGGGCGTGGCCGTACTCCGGTTGTGACTGTGCGCCAGCCGGACCAGGCCATGGAGGCTGATTTGCTGGAGTTGGTGGCCGAGCGCTCGGATGAGTTGGTGCAGCTGTTTTGCCACCTGGGCGTCCAGACCTGCCAGGACGTGGTTGGCATTTGGTCCCATGGCGGCGAGTTGGTGGCAGAGCTTGAGCGCATCCAAGGCCCCCTGGACGCCGAAGAAGCATTCCAGGTTAGCGCCTTGTGGAGCATTGCTGCTCGCCGGGCCTATAATCACAACTGGCGCGTTGCCAGAGCGGTGATCGGGAACCGTGCCTCAGTCGTGGAGACCACGTCCATGGTGGTTGCACCCAAGGGTACAGGCCCTAAGGGACACGTGAGGCAGCTGCTGGAGACTGGGTTCCCAGGGCAGCCACCAATGTTGCTGGCAGCTGCAACTGCTGATCCCCATACCAAAGCTGAGGCCAAAAGGGCTACCAAGATTCAGGCCCTCTTTGATTTGTTATTGCGTGAGTTCCTCAACCTGGCCGAGTTGGGGGTGACCTGGGAAGAGTTGGGCGACCCCGTCCGTTTGCAGCAGTTCAAGGACCAGATTATGCAGTCCACCGGCCGACTCACTGAGGCGAGGATTGGTGCCCTCCTGGCGGCTCTGCGGCGCTGGCAGCGGTATGCCTCTGAGAAGGCTTTCCCCGTTGCTCAGCCAACTCCGCTCCAGTTGGGCGAATTCTTTCGTGCAGTGGCCCAGGGTGGACCCACAGCCGCATCCTCCATGTTTCAGGCATTGAAGTGGTTTCGGGTTACCTTTGGCCTCAACTTCAATACAGACCATTGGCTTACCCAACCCTTCAGGCTGCTCCCACCGGATCATCGGGTACAGCAGAGGACCGAACTACAACCCTGGGAGCTGGTGAACCTGTTATTGATGATGAAGAAAGCGTCCGGCACACATTTGCTGATTTTGACATTTTTTGTCTGGGCAGCTATTTCATGTGTACGCTTTGAACATTTTCAACGGTCGCATTACATGGAGAGCCATCCTCAATGCCTGGTTTTTGAATGCTCCCAAGGCAAAGCCCGACGGCGTGGCGCGCGGCCTCCGTATTCGTGGGCTATGCCAGAATTGGAGTTTCAAGGGCTCAGCATCCATCGTATTGTCCGGGACTTCGTGACCATGGAGTTGAACCCCCAGCTGAACTTCCTGTGGCCGGCCCTCCAGCTTAGCTCAGATGATCTCTGGGAGGTCACTGAAGGCACGGCATGGCTGGTAAACAGGAAGATGTCGCGGGGTCGTTTCCTGGAACTCCTGCGGGGCGCCCTCATCACCATGCAGGTGGACCACGCCCAGGCCCGGGGGGGCTGGTTATAACAGGCTGCGCCGGTTCCTGCCAACTATGGGTATGGTATGTGGCTTGCAGCCCTCCAACCAACAGGCCATTGGCAACTGGCAGGAGGTTCCCAGTGCAGGAGGTCCTGAACCTGTTCGCAAGAGCAAAGCAGTATGGTCGATGGGCCTTCACTATGCCGGGCAGAAGGTCTTGCATTCGGCAGCCGTCAAGCGAGCGTTGATTCAGCGGTTTCTCCATCTACTGAGGCGCAAGCTCCCTGAACTGGCCCTCAATGCTGATGGTCTCGTGGCCCGTGACGCCTGGACCTGGCCTGAGCTCGCTCAGATGAACGAAAGTTTTGGGCCCTTGGAGGCGGCGCTGATGACGCCTGAGGTCCAACCTCCTCCAGAGACACCGCCGGTGACGGCGCCTGAGGCCCCCCCTCCTGCAGACACACTGCCTGAGGAGGCCTCGGGAAGTGCCTTGCCTGTGGCAGGCCCCAAGGAGGAGATCCCGGCTGAGGAGGCTGACCAGATCACTCCGCCGGAGGAGGCTGCCGATCCGGAGGCCCAGTCCGCATCGTCTTCGACTACTTCATCGTCCGGACTGTTCGGCCATGGGTAGTGACTTGGAAGGCGTCCTGGCAGAGGAGGCGGCTATCACAGAAGCCAAATGGTTCGTCCAAAGCCGCCGAGTTCACATCGTCAGTGGAGTGCTGGATGAGCGCCAACTGCCCTACTGCCGGGATTCGCCCTTCGCCCAAGATCCCAAGAGCCAGGGAGAGGGCTTTGGATTGGTTGTCCGAAGCCAATTCTGCCAGCGGTGCCTGGCACGCATGCCACGAGGCCTCTATGCCTCCTTGGCTGACCAGTGCGGATGGTTGCACTGAGTGTATAAAAAGCTGAGGGACCAGAGGTGCCGTGGGGTGCGGGGGCGGGGGGTCGACGTGCGTCTACATGGGGGTCGAGTTTGATTTTGCTCACCGACCTTTTTCCGACGTCGTGTTCCCGGTCGACCTTTCTGATTGTGGTGCCCCCACCCCTGTTTCCCCCCCCTCGGGGTAGGCTTGGAGGGGCACCTTTTGGGTCTGTGACCTGGCTTGGCCTCCTCCGGGGTGCCACCAGAATGGGGTGGGTATCGAGGTGTGTTCGGCCGCTCCGACGGGCAGGGTGGT